TGAATTGCTTGAAATTACAGCAGAAGAAGTGGAAAGAAGATATAAGACTATTCGTACTGCATTTTCTCGCTTTCTTTCAAAACAAAAGTTAAAGTCTTGATCTGGAGTAAGCGACATTTTGAATGGGATCCACCAAAAGCAGTCAATAAAAAGGCAAAAAAGAGATGGTAGTGGTATGAGCTGGGTTGGAGCTGAAATCAATAACAAAATGCAATTGAAAAAAACTGATGAACAAATTAAAGAAGCCATGTCAAAGTTGGACAAGTCCTTAAAATGTCTGGAGCACCGCCAAAAAGATAAACCTAATGTGGAGAATGATGAAGACTTCTTTTACTGTTTGAGTTTAGCCCCCAGACTGAGAAGGCTTGATGGAAAAAAGAAGGCTTTAAATAGGAACTTAATTGAGAAGGCTTTCATGGAAGCTGAGTATGGAGGTTTTTAAAAGCCTAATTACTTGAATTCATTCCCAACTTTTGTTGGTTCTGTGCCAAATAGACAAGCAAATTATGGGAATAATTAAAAGTTTTATTTCAGCTATTGTCACAACAGGTTTACGACATTTGGTTTGTTATTTGATGGATAAGACATTTACTCTATTGAGTTTCAGAAGAAATTGTTGCTTACAGTAATAAAACTTCATTATTTCATTATTACCATGAAACTACTCAGTGCACTAACTTTATGTAATTTTCCAAAAAATACAACTGTAAAACTTTCAAAGATATTAAATCAAATATAAGCACTTTAAAGAGCTCTAAATTAATCATTTCCACACAAAGTAAGTTACTGCACTGTTTAGTTTGTTGATAACTCATTTTTTAGCAACGAGAGTAACATACTAATTAACTTAATATTGTTTACATTGTTTAAAAGTAATGTTCATTTTATATGTTAGCTGCAAATATATATTTCACAATGTCAAAAATCTTGCAATGCAGTGTAAATGTTGTAGATAACATCAGAGTCAATAGTCCTGGAACGAAAAATTTCATTTGCCATCGAGCATAAAAAGATGTTAATAGGATAAATTTTAACTCAAATGTTTTTTTCATACACACAAGTATGCTAAATTATGCTGCAATGAGGTTGGCTTTTTACAAATAACTATGAATGCTTCCATTGCACCATTATCGCCTAATGTGGTGCTTCTCAAGTTACCAGGTGATGTTCTACCACCATATAATGCGTTACGTGGATGTAACGGTAGCACATTAAAAAATTCCTCTTTCAAATTTTTTATTTCACTTACATTTTTGTCTTTTAAACATTCACATTCTCGCATTTCAACTACGTCACAAATATTATCAATTACTTGTTTTGAAAATTGTTTTGTTTGCAATCTTAAAAAATACATTTTTTTCCCTACTGTGTATTATAATCATTATTATTAAAACAGTTATTACAATCATGAAAAAAGTGTCCGTGAAATTGATATACAGTGTTGTTCTCTTCACATTCTCTAAAGTGTAATCCATTTCATCTAATTCTGATTTAACTTCAGTCAACCAACATAATGCTATTTAACTTTGCATGGTATTACCCTTGTACCCAAATGATGGGATTTGTGCAATTTTATCATCTTGTAAATAATTATTCCTGAATATTTTTAGTGTTTAACCAGCAATTGTTATGCATGATATATCGTAAAAAGTTGAAATGTTTGTATTGTTGTAGATTAAGTTGGACATTTTCTTACATCCAGTTCTTAGTATGCTAACATCATTACTGCAATAATAATAAACTGCATCTTGAAATATGTATTATTTTTCACATTGTTTGTTATACCATATGTCAAAATCATTTGTTTCACTTTCTGAAATATCAAAGTACCTTTTATCAATGATATTTCCCTAATACGTAAAATCGAAAAATTTATATGGATGATATCCTTTTACAATATTATCAATTTCGTGTGATTCTGGAAACTTTGCCAATTTTATGGATAAAAATGAACAACTGTCAATAATTTGTAGATTAATTTCTTTTATTTTTAAAGATAAAGTTTTATTTCCATTCATAACAGCTTCGGGAATTAAGTTTTTTCTGTCAATAAGTATTTCAATAAAAAAATTGACTCAAATATAGCACCATCATGTGCAATCTAAAAAGAATTTCCTTGTTCTAACATAAACTGAACTAATCGTGATGTTACATCATCACTTTTATAGTCAAATATAAATTGACGATAACCACAGCAATCAAGGGTATCAATTGAGGAGTCAGTAATATAATCCATATCGGGTAAAAATTATTCAAAATTTTTGTAAAAAGGAATTTTCTTGCTTTTTTTGACATATTTCCTGAACATAACAATAGAAAGGTATCATTAAATTATTTTATCAGTTTTGTTTTCAAAATCAAGAAAATAATGTTGGTGTACGCTCATATATATTAAAGTCTAAAGGTTTAATGTGGCATTTATTTTGTTTGTCCAAATAGTTTCTACAATGAGCAGAATATATTTTTTGACAATTTGCCGCGAAGCGCTTATTGTTCTAACGTCGAAACGTCGAAACAACGTGAAAGAAAATCCTACTACTGGATGCTCACTCTAAAGACTTACGCCAATTTTAGTGTTGGCTAGCTGTGAGAGTCCATGCAAATTAACAACACGTGCATGTGCTGTGAACAAAAAGTTACTGTTTAGGCAGCAAATGTCTTCATTCAATTACGTACGAGTTATTGCCCCAGTCTTTCACTATAGTCACTAAAACAGGACATGCTTTTCAGAGGCCGTTGTATCTAGACGTAATTAATTTTTACTTTTTGCCGATCCACGCGAGTTAAATGTTATTTAAGCCAATAGTGCTATTAAAACCTGCGCGAACTTCTGTTCAAAAGTTAAAAACTGCGCGATCTTCTGTTCAAATGCACGATTCTCAGAGCTCATGAAGTTGCGAGTTTTCTCAGTGCAAACTTTAAATGCATCCCTAATTGTTGTTACTATTTGATTTACAAATACAAGATGGGGAATGCAAATGTTAATTAGTGTAAGAAACGCAAATGTCGTCAAGAGACTGGACTTAGCTGGAAAGTAGATATCCGATTTTAAGTCCAACAACTTTGTTTTAGTCTACGGACCCCGAAATTAGTAATTTGCCACTGAGTAGTCCACTGATGGCAAGTCATTTAAAGAAAAAATTTACCAAAAGAGTATATGTTTACTAAAAATATCTACTTTATATTCACATCTCAATCCTTAAATTGTTGAAAATTAGCTTTTAACAAATGAAAAGTGTTATAAGTTTTGGAAGTTGCTTTTTATTCTTTGTATTATATAAGAAACAAAAAAATATTAAATCAATCCTTAAACCTTGATTGAATATAGCTGATAATTATAGTGTGAAATTTATTAATAAAAAATGTACTTACCGACAAATGTCTTTTCCTTACTGCAATGCTATTTAAATCATGACTTTTTTTTGAATTTTTGGTTGGTGGTATTTGTTCTTAGACGTAAATGCTAGATGGGATGGCAAAACAGTATCATAAATTCCAGCAAGTTTGGATAATTAAGATAGTTGCCACTTTGTAAATGTATTCATTATGTAATCTTGGCACTTAAAACCTATTCTTAAGTATATCTATAATTTGGTGTCATAAAAGTTACTTGCTTCCCAAAGTCAACGTATAAATTTCCTACAAGAAGGCATACTAGTTGATACAGTTCCCTTCCCTTCTTACATAACGTAAAATAGCCATGCCATACGTCGTCAAGCCATGGAAACATCAAAATTTTTTAATAAAAATTTTCTCAAATTTGTTAAATCAATCATTAAACAATTGTTATCAACCACGATAGATCGTACGCCTTTTGTTTGCTTATATTCTTGCTAAATAAGATAATATGTTCCATCACACGACATACTTTGTCTTAAACTTTTCGTAATACTTCGACAATAGTCAAAAGTGTCCTATTCCAAATACAATTTAATAATTTGAAAACAAAGTTTTTCTCATCCAAGATTATACATGTTTTCAACCGTTTGGCTTACCATCGGTTTTGAACAACTATTTGCCCACCCAAACAGATAAGTTTATGAAAACATATAACTAGCAAGCTTCTGAAAATATTTTTTGACCTAAACAAAACACACTTTTTTATAGATCAACAAAAAATGCATAGAAATTCCAAACGGATCTAAATGGATTATAATGTAATATAACGTTTGTCTATTTATACAATCAAGAAAATGGCTGCAAAGATCATCTGAGCGCACGTTGCAATTTGGTTAACAATTATTAATTAATAGTGTAATTCTTAAAACTTCAAAACACAGTTTTCTTTACTCTTGTTTAATCATGCTCCTCTCATTGTTTAGATTTATTTTGTAACAAGCGCTTTCAATTAACCCCAAAACAAGCGGAATTTGAAATTGTTTCGGAGATGGCGTAAGAATTTCGAACAAACCTGTAAACAATGAAGAGTTTCTGCCTAAATAAACTTGGAGTGAATTTGTGATAGAGTAATGCAAACTTAAACAAATATTTGCGAGTTGTCTTAACTTTTCACTAAAGCAATAACCTCAAGTTAACATCAGTTTTCGTGGTTTTGACTTCGTTGCTTACTTTAAAAATAAAAAATGATTATTCTTGGCTTATGAAAAACTGAGAAGATCATTTGGGTGAACTTGAGAGCTAACAATACAAATCATACATCATAGGTCCACCCATTTGAATATAAATGTCGTCAGAAATTAATTCAGGAAATAATTTTAAACAATTTTTGCTTGTGTTCTATCACAAAATCATGCAGTTCAGCTTTTGATCTTGGTCCTTAAAAGGTTTCGTATTTTCCAGCGATCATCTTGCTTGTTTGTACAGCAAAAACAATGAGATTCATCAATTATAAAACTTATCATCTTCAAAATTTTTTAAATATTCATAGGTTTCGATATAAATTCGATGATTTGGAATCTTGACTCTCATATATGGCGTACATACAAATTCGTTACGTATGATTGGTGTGAATTTCACCAACTTTTCGTTTGGAAGCCAGTTGTTGACTCTCCTGTATTGCAGAGGTATTTCATTCAGCAATATCCGTTACAAATGCGCCCATTTGACAAATTTGTTTTTGGGAAATGCTCTATGCTTAGCGTTGGTCGTAGTAACCGGAAGGATATGTACAATTTGGCCACGGAATATTAAATCAGCGGCCATGATAAGAAATTTCTGACTGTCATGCCAGCTCCGATTTTCGTACATTAATCGGTAAGGAAGCAAAAACTTTATTGCATTTTTGTGAAATGCATTACAAGCAGCATCAAAATGAATGCTAACGGGCAACAACTCTAGAAAAGGATACCCAAATGGTCTCCAACATAAAGGATGTATGTTTTGTGATCGTTTCGAGCAAAACCAAGGTACGCCAATTGCAGGCTCGTATTCCAAGAGAAGTCTTTCAAAAGTTTGCAAGGGTGAGCTCTGAAACTTTGAAAATACTCTTTCAAATTTTGAACTCGTAAAATGAAATGTTAGGTCACCATCCATGATAACATAGTAGGTATAGTCTTTTGAAGAATTTATGACCCGTTCATACAAAATGTTTCTATCTTCGCTCCAGGTTGTATCTGGCTTAAAAAATTACTGGATGTTATAAGTTTGTCTTAAATTTTTCTTTGTACAAATGCTCTCAAAAGATAGGACAAGAACATTATTCTTTGACTTTTGTACAAATATTGCTGTACTCATTAAGTGCTCGTGCAAGCAACTCTCAGTCTGTATCAAGTAAATGAATCTTTGACTTGGATGAATATTGCTATTTTTTTCTTTTGCAAAAAGTGGTCTGTAAGAAAATCTATCGAAATTTGCTAACCACCATAAACAGGAGAAGAAGAGAAAAACAACTGCCATTAAAGTAGCAAAAATGGACTTCGTACGTTTTCAATCATGTCTCTAGCAGAACAGCAGCTCGTTTTTTTGTCTTTCAGCCGTCTAAATATTAAGAAAATCATATTGATAAATTGTGTGGATGCCCACTGTGTAAAATGCCCACTGCCTGAGCTAACTTAAGAGCTGATTTAGAGAAACATGCACAGCTAAGTAGAGGTGTCACTTACTATATTTGTACAATTTGGAGTAAATTATATTTGGAGTAAATTTCAGAAAGAATATATGCGTTACGTAAGAAAATCAGAACAGTTGACCATTTATAAAAATTGTAAATTTATTCCATGTCCTATTTTATAGTATGTCTTATACATTTGAGCAAAAATACGTACACTGCAAAAAAAAGCTACCATACATTTTATTCAATATCTTAGCAAATCGAACATTTAGGAAATTTTTTGAATAAATATATTGTAAATAAATGATTAATATTGCACTTTTTCGTGATAAAGCCCGTTTACTCGGACTCATGTGAGCAGCCCTTAAAGGAAAATACCCATGAGCTGCATTTTACGCTGTAGGGCAAAATGCTCGCAGGGTTCATTAAAATAGGCATGCGCCACTTTAGTCAAGTTCATAAGATCAATAGAGCTCATGTACGCGCAAAAGTTGGATACATTGTAGTTTTGAAAGCGTTGTTTTGCTCTCATATTCAAAACATTTTATAGGCCATTCTCGAAAGACCTTTCTCATCCAAAATCTCCGTTTTGTAGGAATCCTTAACCTTCTTACTTGATGAATCAAATAAAAAGCAATTAGTGTGTTTTCTAAGCTTTGCAGAAATAACTGTGTTTTGTTGACAGGAGTCACGTTTATTTTCTCGAACAGTAGCACACCCGAGCAGTTTCTGCCCTTTGAAAAAGCATTAACAATTGAAGGCAGCACGCGCCTGAGCATTTTCCTCTTTGTGTAAAATGGAACTTCATGGCAATCTACCTTATAATCGCTAATACTGCCAGTAAATTGTTTTCAGTAGTATAAGTAGGGCAAAATTGAATATATAAATAACATATCCTCCTTAATTAACGTTTAAGTAACGGCCCTATGCGTGGTGACAAAATGAAAAATGTTTTAAAAGTAACAAATTCCATATGAATAGTGATGATAATAACGTAAGAGTTCTTAAAAGAGCTGTTTGAAAGCATTTTAAAGAACTTGTTCAAGCGACGGTCTAATCACTCGAGAAGACTGGTACACTTCCTAAAAAATTTGTAATAATCCAAACGTTCTTAGATCCATCAGTTACTCCAAGAATCATTAATTTTTTAACAAATTCTAGCCGAATTCGTCAACGCTTAATGCACTTAAAAGTATTACGTAAGATAATAAGAATAATTATGGAAATTTTTCAGCAAAACATTTAGTTCTTTCCAAAGTCATTATTAGAGCATCGTACTTTGAATTTATATTTTAATACTTTAGGCATAATCAGAATTCATTGATTTTAACCTGAAATAGCAGCAGGGTTGAAGGACATATACTTTGTACAAAACAGCATTATAATAACAACTATGCTTTAGCATTATTATAGCAACTTGCTGTTTTTATTGAGCAAAAGAGGTTTTGATCTCTTACTTTAGGAGACTAGCCATTCAGGAGAAAGATGGCATTGTCCCCTCCAAACATTTTTCATGACAGTTTTAAATTGAGAGTTATAAGCTTTAATTAGACATATATCACTAAGTGAAATGGCCCCTTGAAAAAAATTTGTTGCTCCCTATTTTTAATATTTTCTATTTGAAATGAGAGTTTTGTTTTGTTGTAGCCAACAGATGGATGTAAAATTAAAACACATTACTTAACGGAGTGAGCTAACATTCGGTCAGTGGCAGAGTCAGGCCAATCATTTAATAATGCAATGAAAAATTTTTAAAAAAAATCATTATGAATTTTTCAAGAAAATTTTTACAATTTAATGTTCTGCAGTAATTAAAAACCAAAATATTTGCATTATAGGAGTAAAAATTCGAGTGGCTTAGATGTTGCATTTGATTTTAGTTGACTTAAATTGGTTGTAGGTAATCGAAATATAACTAAGTAATAACGAGTAATGACAATTACTGATTTTCTCGCTGCTTTTGATGGGTTTTTTCACAGTTAAGCATGGTTTGTGTACTGTAACTTACACACAGACTCTACCTTCGCAACATACGAAAGTAATTAAAAATTACACATACAAAAGTTAAAAATGTTCATAAAATTCCAAAAGGACAAAAAGACCGGCATAGAAATCACGGGTTTTGTGAAAGACGGAAAGACCGGAACTCTGTTTTTTAAGTGATTCGCTTCTCCCTTTTAAGAACTATTACCTTATTAAAGCATTTGCCTAATTCTTAAAAGAAAGAGTATGCAATAAGGCGAGTTGTATATATAATAATACGTTTCTAATTTTAATAGCAACAATCACATAACAATTAAGCAAAAGTGATTGATAAAAAAACGATTCAATGTAAGCAAGGTTTTTTAATTTTCAAATGAGTGATGCAAACAACGACAGCGCGCGTATTGAATTAGCGCAATTAAACGAAAACTTAAATGTTATCTGAATAACATATCATATTCAACTTGGCATGTAAAGTACGTTTTTCATTTAGCGTCTTGTTCTCGTGTAATTGTAAGCAACAGTTGCTCAGTCTATGTCATATTATGTCATAAACACATATATCCCCCTAATCGGCCTAGAAATCAGCCAGGGTGTCAGGGCATTGCGATAGATTTGTCAAAAGCAGATCCTGACGAAGGAATTTTTGTCGCATAACGTGGTTCAAAAATACAAGAAATTAATGACTTTTTTTCAATGATTCATTGCAAGTTGTAATTTGCAAAGTGAAAAAAGTTTGAAAGATTTCTCGCAAGTTCAGCATATAATTGCGGCAAGTTTTATAACTTTCATGAAAATTGCATGCGATATTTGAAAGCTCTACTTAAGTCATAGGATAAGCTTAGTCAAATATGATACAAAATGCATAACAACTTTTTTGATTATAATTTATACAAATGTTTTTGGAGTATATCGTGTTTTAAAACAGTTCCACTTGGAAGCAAGGAGCCCTTGAACATACAATAGGCATTAGATCACTGTCTAATATATGAGAACTTGATCCTTGATCCCTTATCTAATCAAGATCAAAGTATAGAAACAAACTATAGTCTCACTCCACTCTGAAACTTGGTACTGATTAGGTTACTGGACGCGGCTAGCCACCCAAGGGCCCCTATTGTTTACAAAATACTATTTACTCTATGCCACTATGCAAATCACAAGCGTAATGAGAAAGGCGCTACACCACAAAATCTTAATATTGAAATTTCTGTTTGCTACTATTATGTTCTAATATGTCGTCTGTTCTTGAATTAAATCCATCGTGTAGAGAATTATGTGTGGTGGCCACATTAGAATAGATAAAATATTCGTTTGTATTTGACTACTGACTTGGCAGCGCGCCGTGACTTTGCATGCAAGCAGTGAACTATAAGGAGACTGGAACGATAACCTGGCGACATCTTTGAAGCTACTTATGATGCAAAAATACTTTTTTCCAGCTGGTCATTATAGACCTTCAAATTTGTCATGATCGGCCGTTTATAAACAGTTACTATACCAATAAAACGAAAATTTATTCGTGTTTTTGCTCATTGAAAGCAAAAACATGTATACGGTGACAATTCAAGCTTGAAAAACCTATATAAGGAAAGAAGTGAGTTGAAGGTTTCACTTTGTGTGGACGTGATTCACTATAAACTATAGTAAAATAAGTTTTTTTCATGGAAAATGTTTTCATGGCAGAAAAAAAACGCACTTATTAACGCTTTTTTTCAACATGAAAGAAATTAGCTTTCCCCAATCTTTTTCATTAGGTCTGAGCATAAATAAAAACTAAAAAAAACATTGCAAAATCTTTCTAATGTATAAAGAAAATGATCTCTTTGTTCTTGCTCTAAAGAAAAACAAAATATGTCTGGCATATTGTTTGACACACCATTCACCAAAATATATTAAAAGATTGTTAATACAAAGTACAACAAAAAAAAAAACACGAATTTCACTCAAATTCAGTAAGGCTTTTGAAACACTTTTTCGAAAATAATCATTATACAACTGTGTACGAAGGTTTAATTAGAAGTCTCTGTTATATAACTGTTATAAATTCACCAATATACATGACCAAACTATGTAAACACACAAATGCTATACTAAGATTATAAAAATATATTACATAAATATATATATCGTAAGTTAATGGTACAAGAATAACAAGCCCTACCATTAACGTAATATATTTTACCGATAGAACTCTAAATTTTGACCTAATATACAATTTGATGGCCTACGAATCATCATAAAATCTGGTGAAATCTACCCACTCAAAATGAATGTTGCTTTTTAGCAATTATGTTGAGTGTGACGTGGAGTATAACTTGTCTATGCCATTCATCTGTAAATTAAGCATGAACTTGTTGATGAAATTTTAGCACTTTTTGCACAAATTTAGACTGACATTAAATATCCCACCAGATTTTGAGAAGTGGGAGACGTCAATGACAGAAAACTAACAATACTCGAAATTCAAATTTGAAATCATCACTTTCACACTTCAATAATAAACAGAATGTGTACAAATCTTACACATCCAATATTCATTTAAAAGCAACAAAATTGTATTTAAAGTTATCATACCAAGTGCATTGTGTGTATTTTGCAAAACTTTCATCGGTATGGACTACTATCTGTTAAAAATTTTTGGTCTTTTGATGACGAATCACAAGTTCAAATCTCGAAGCACTCCTCACTTTTTTTATATGTAACGTAAAATAGCAATACCTATACAAATCATAACTTA